TTGATCCTCAAGGTTCCTACAAGTTTGGGAAATATTATATCTACTGCATACTGTTATGTTATTTTATCTTAATTTCCCATCGGATGATAGGATTTTTAATGTGTTTTTCTGAATCCGGAATGCTCAATTTATAGGCCAAACTAGTGTTATTTCATAAAATTGCGACCCTCGATGAAACACGCACTTTCAGCAATATTTTTGCTAAACGTTATATTGTTTTGTCAACAACAACACTTTTAGAATGTTGCACTTTTTCTACATCAACAGTTTTCAAAGACTGTACTGTTTTACATTCTGCAGCACTTCATAAAGTGTTGTCTATTTCTGAACTCAAAATACAAATTGTCTATTGCAACACTTCACTAAGTGTTACATATTTTCAAATTCTTCACTTTCAAATTTTCTTGTCATTTTAAAACACACTAATAAATAATAATCATTAATTATTATTAATTATAACATCTTACACTCGTTATTTTGTCTAGCAGAGAAAATGGCTGAGAATTTGTTCCTCCCATCACGATTTCTCAGTATATCATCACGATTTCTCAGTATATCATTCGTACCCATCATTAAAAATCGGAAAAACATTAATTAATCAATAAATTTAATAACAAAACAACAGGTGGTCTGCAACATTTTGGATTATAGAATTTGAATGCATTCCATAGTGCATGTTCGAGTTATAAAATTTGAACACATGCATATGGTGTATTCTCGAAATAAAAATCCATATAATAAATCAAAGAATCAAGAAAGTGTGTACTAGCATACTAAACAATTAGATACAAGATTATTCAAGCAACTAGCAGTCTAAAAATAAAAATGCATGCAATAAATCAAAGAATCAAGCAAGTGTGTACTAACTTGTGAAACAGTTAGATACAAGATTATTCAAGCAAGATTTGATAACAAAACGAAAGAATGCAAGGATTTTAGATTTAGGGATGAAAGAAAAAATGCATAAGTGGAAGAAGGATGATATGTTTCGTGAGTTAGATGGAGAGTTTGAATTCTAAAACCTGAATTTTTGAATAAACATTTTTGAATTTTTAGAGTTTTTGAGGGCCTTTGAAGGTGGGAATAAAAATCCTAACAAATAATAGTATATATTTCTAAAAATAAAATATTTTTATAATCTTATGTCAAAGAGAAACAAATTAAGTGGAGGAGATTTAAAATGCCACCTTCAGAATTATATATGGGATCTTTTATTTTTTTAACATTTTATGTTTACATTCTTAAATTTTTTTGGAAAACATGAAATTTCTTAACGTATATCGATAATTTGGATTATTTATCGGAAATATTGTTAAAAACATATATTTTATGTAAAAAATTGTTATCTACTGGAAATTTTAAATTTTTGATGACGTTACGATAATTACTGGAATTTTCATAATTTTCGGTATTTATAAAAAAATTTCAGAAATTTTAAATTTTCGATACACTGTCAACATGTGTTTTTTTTTCTTTTTCAATTGATTTTCTCCGCACATAACTGAATCAATAAACATGGTACTTGATTAAACATAAACATTTAATAATTGTCATGCATAAAAGGGTATAAAACAAATTAAGATAACTTCCTAACTTCCTCTTCACAGTGCCTAAAGTGATCCGCAAATGCTGATTCCCATACTTTTGCACTACAATTCTCTCTTCAACGGACAGTGACAGGAGGCAGTGGACAATCGAGTTTCAACTTTACTTGAACCCAATAATTTTTGTTGACAAAATCAATAGAATGATTTTACGTCTGCTCGTATACATAGGTGGAGATAAGGCTAGAGGGAAAATGTGATATTAAGTCTCATGGAAAGGGAGACAAATACAATATTGTATTTAGAAGCAACAAAGTAACCCATATCAAGAATGCTCATTCATTTATCCCCACCTTGTACACCCATGTGTTCTACTCGTAACGAATTCGTAATTGTACAAACTAAGTCATAGAATAATTTAGAAAACAATTGAGGGCGTTGATGAATTTGAGTTTCTAAGTGCGTCCGAACCAAACCCACATGTCTTCGCCCCATCCAAGTTGACATGTAATGCAACATAATCCATAATTCCCATCATTTTCAACATCAATAATGTCATCAATGTATGGATGTAAGAAAGCAGGAAATTGGAACAAGTATTTATTTCTTGAAGATGTAGGGGACGGTTGAGCTGATGATTAACTTGACGGTTGACATCCATCTGATTTGGTGCATTATCTCCTTGTAGTCTGACTCTGACTCCCTTGCGAGAGCTCGACATATTCCCATTGTCTAGGATCACGATACACATCATTCTCAGTATCTTTTTTACTCTTCTTTGCTCCTATCTTTGGCTTATACTTCACCAGCGGTGGACACATAGAAGTTGTGGATGGATGTATTAGTTTCTGAACCTTTTTTATTCAACACCCTCTGGCCTACAATATCCAATGTACTGAAATATGTCTTCACGTTTTACACTTTGTCTCTAAATCCTATTTTGTACCAGTCTCATCCTGACTAACCTCGTGATCTGAAATGTACAACTTTGTCCAAAATACATGAATTGAGTCCAAAGGAACCCGAGTTGCCTTGTAGCTGAAAATCGACAAGTTGGCATGCACACGTAACCCATGTGTAGTTTTAATGAAATAACCATATCTTTCTTTGCATGTGCCCACAAAATTTTTCCATTTTCAATGAGTCGTATATATTGCTTTGAGACAAAACTATGAAATCTTGAATATAATGGAGTGTTATACCGATGCTCAATATTGACAATAGTTTTTTTTTGAAAAGACACCCTTATTGAACCTAGTTACAACTTTAACATGGTGTTCAGAACATCCCAACTTCGGTATAAATCTCCTCGGTTTGTAGCCAACATGTTTTTAAGTCTCCAATGAGCATATTCAACCCTAAAAACAATAAATAAGAATATATGTTAGATCATGTTTAGCAATGTACTAACATGAACACAAACATGTTTCGTGTACCTGTTTGTTGTTGTGTTCTCTAAGTGGGTGACTCTGTTTGTCCAAGCAACAACAAGTCTTTCTTTATAAGGAGTCACCCATGTTTCATTCACATATTTCACAAATAAAGGAATGTCACCACAAACACTCTCAAAATGCTTCAAGTGTTCCCCAAACTCAGTTTATGTATTTGAGTACATGATGTTGTTCCATAGTTCCATCACATGTTCATGTCTTTCTGATTTAACGTACTCTTTACATTTCATACTTATATTTTTTGAAATATGAAACGTACAAAACATATGAGTTGCACTCGGGAACACATATTCTATGGCATTTATCAATGCAAGCTCCTGACCTGTCACCATAACCTTCGGTAGCAACTTCTCGGAAGAGAACAACTCCTCCAACTTCTCTAATGCCCATGTGAAATTCTTCTCCCTTTCATGTTCCAAATAAGCAAAGGCGACCGAAAACGTTAACTTTGTTGACGTAACACCAACGATCTCAAGTAGTGGTAAATGATACATGTACGAGCAACATAGAAACAATCACAATCAACATTTACATTAACATATGTCAGGATGTCTAATAAAATATTCTTACCTATTTGTCTTGTATGAGCAATCAAAAATCAACACCAAATGAAACATATTCAACAACTTCACTGAATTCAGATGTGTCCAGAAGATATCAGCAACAATATTTATGCAGTTCCTATTTATAGTCCAACACATGTATTTCTCTTTATGAATAAGACTCAACAACATTTGCATTTTCGTCAATGATTCTTTCTTGCGCGTTTTGTATGTATCTCTGGCTCTATACACCTGAGTAAAACTAGTTAGGTTTTCAGGATCTTTGTCTTTTAAAGCAGCAACTATGAACCTTGGATCTATGTTGTACTTCGTCATATCATTCACAAACTGTTGTTCATGATCTTTTAAATGAACCAATATGTCATGACCTTCTAAATTCTCAGATAATTTATGGTTGTGCATCCCGCACATAATCATCACCTTCCAACCAATACCACTTGGAGCAACTCTCAGTCTAAAAGGAATTTCACTTTCATGTTATAAACGTTGTCAGATGAGTTTGTGCTTTGACATGCATTCTTTCTTTTATAATTTCCTCCTCTCTCGCAACCCATAATCAATTTATCCTTCCTCTCTGGAATTTCATTAGTCTAATCAGAACGAACAGTGACAACAATAATACCATGTTGTTTTCCAATAGCATGTGCTCATGCTAACACATCTGATTGAATCTTGAATATCTATAAATTTTGAAATATAAAAATTAAATTAATAATTTCCTACAAACGGACAAACATTTTGGAATAAAGTTTGTTAAAAAGAATACGTACAATATCAGTGATGAAGAACTTCGTACAATCTGTACAAGAATCCGTAGAAGAAGTCGCTGATTGTGCCGGTTGAGGGTCGTGCAAGTAGAGAGGCTCATTTTCTACCATCCCGAAAATTATAGGGTTGACAAAATTTCTGGGATTTTTGAAATGTACCTGCATTTTAGAAAAATCGGGTTTAATATTCACAAATTTTAAATTTGTACCGCCAATTTAGAAATTTCTAGTGAATTGCTTTCAGAAGTTTCTGAAATACAAAGAATTTCTGGTATTTTGCCTCGAGCGATATCGAAAATTCACTAATGTATATCGGAAAAAAAAAATTTCAGAAATTTTTCTAATGAGTTTTTTATCCACGACACGCAATTTTTGGGATTAATAGTAACAAGAGTAATTTGGTCAATACAAAAATACAGAGAGTGTGAAGATTAATACATGGGCTGGCATGTTAAAACCTCTGAATGAAGGTGCTAATAGCAACAAAAAGAAGCCTACTACATTAGGCCCAATACTTCATCTCACACCTCTCTAAAATTCGGAAATTAATCGATTTTTCCCTTTCGGAATCAAAACCAGTTAGTATTAACCAACTTCCAAGTAAAGCCAAAAACTTAAATAAAAATCACTTTTCTCTTTTCCATACACATCAAAGTTTCTTCCCCCTCTTCAACAATGGTGCTCGAGGTAATCACCGATTTTTTTCCATCTCGATTTCAAATCACTAGGGTTTTTCTCCCAATGTTCTCTTCTATAACCTCGATTGTTTCTTTAACAGGCGACAATGATCTGTATAGACAATTCTGAATGGATGCGAAACGGGGATTATTCTCCTTCTCGATTTCAAGCTCAAGCTGATGCTGTTAATCTCATTTGTGGTGCTAAAACCCAGGTCAAAATCAATCATACATTATTAATATCTATTGCACTCTTTTTTGCTAAATTAGTTAGAACTTAGGGTTCAATTATGCTGATGTAGAAAACCCCTAATATGATGGGGTAGATTTAATTTTAAAGAATGGATTTTTTTAATCTTCTGATATTATCATAGGGTTCTATTATGCTGATAATGTATTGTTTTTTCTTTCAATATTACAGTCTAATCCGGAAAATACTGTGGGAGTTCTTATAATGGCTGGGAAAGGTGTTCGTGTTTTGGTTACCCCTACCAGTGATCTAGGCAAGATCTTAGCATGTATGCATGGTTAGTTTTTCTATGTATTTGCTGTTCTAATTTACTATTTAAACCATGATTGATAATTGAATCTAAATGCCGTATTAAGAAATAGTTTTATTTCACATTTAAGCTTTATTATTAGTCTAGCGATTTGTAAATGCGCGCCCTTACATGAAAAAAGGTTAAATAAAAACAGAAACTAAAATGAAAAGTATAATGTTAACTATCATGAATATTCCAAAAATCTTTGATTGCTTTCTTCTTTGAATAGTTAAGGGGATTAGTTAATAGATATGAATTTTATTCCTTAAAATGTGGCCTTAAACATTGGTAAAACCCTGAAAGTTATTATGAGAGGGTTAATGCGGGTAATTCTTAAAAACAATGTGTTTGGTTGTGTTAATCGATTCAAGTTAGTTCTGCCCCTTTTTATTGTTGGATGTTGGCAGAAGCTATATAAGACCACTTTTTGTAGGACATATCTATAGTTCAGGTTGGACTTTTATGAACTCATTACCGAAACAAAGAACCAGAACTGATAAGTTTAGCGCATATTATAATTTCCATACTGTGTAATAGTGCACTATTGTGTTTATGAAAAATTATTTCTTTTTTGTTTATATTCATGATTTAGGACTAGAAATAGGGGGTGAGATGAACCTAGCTGCTGGCATTCAGGTGGCACAATTAGCTCTAAAGCACCGTCAAAATAAAAAGCAACAGCAAAGGATTATTGTCTTTGCTGGAAGGTATGCTTAACTATATTTCATGCTAATTTTTAATTCTATCATTTATAGTTATTCAGTCTTAATTACCTTAATCATTGTATTGTAGTCCTGTCAATCATGAAAAGAAAATGTTGGAGATGATAGGGAGAAAGTTGAAAAAGAATAGCGTAGCGCTCGATATTGTTAATTTTGGTGAAGTAGATGAGGCGAAGACCGAGAAGTTGGATTCACTTCTTGCAGCTGTGAACAATAATGATTCAAGCCATATTGTTCATGTTCCAGCTGGTCCAAATGCACTTTCTGATGTACTTATAAGGTTTGTGGGTTCAATTTTGTCTTTCTTTTCTTTCATATCTTGTGTTTCTCTGTTATGTTCAAAGAAATATAGATTTACTTACCATCTTAATACTCATGTGATGTTATGCTGTGACAGTACACCAATATTTACTGGTGATGGGGAAGGTGGAAGTGGTTTTGCTGCTGCTGCAGCAGCAGCTGCAGCTGGGGGTGCATCTGGATATGATTTTGGTGTGGATCCAAACTTGGATCCTGAATTGGCTCTTGCCTTAAGAGTTTCAATGGAGGAGGAAAGAGCCAGGCAGGAAGCAGCGGCAAAAAAGGCTGCAGAGGATGCTGCCAAACAAGAGAAAGGAGGCGAGCAGCAAGCTGGCTCTCAAGATGCGACAATGACTGAGCGTGCCAGTGCATCAACTTCTGAAGCAGAGAATAAGACAACTGATTTGATGGTTGGTGTCTTTGTTGTGTTTATATATGGGTTTTGACTTGCTAATTTTCATAGATGTTATTCCCCAATTTGGTGATTTTTAGGAAAAAATTTATCGATATATCACCCAATTGGGTACCAAACATCAATGACATTTTTTGTATGGACTAAATTTGATAAAAGAGTATTTTACAGGGGCCAAAAACATATTTAATGTCAAAATACAATTATCTAAACCATATAATAGTTTGTAAGACTACATTCAGAATTTTTATTTTTAATTCTAGAGTAAGTAAATTACAAAGGCATGCAAAACTTGAAATTTTCCTTGATAGTGTGTCTGTCCAGGGTCTCTGTGGCACTTAAACTTATTATCAGTTTGCCATTCTTTGAGACACATCTAGAGTTGTATGTAGTCCCGTCAGCTTAGAAACTGTTACTTAACAGTTTGCTTTTGCAAGTGAAACCTAACGGCAACACCTCTTTCTTAGATGATATGATCTACATCAAATATTTTTATTTTTTCACAAAAGTAAATGTTTCTTCATGCTATGCTTTTTATTTGATTATTTTCATAATTGGACAACAAACAGTAGCTGACCTTCAAATGAAATCAGGATGATGAAAATGCCTTACTGCAGCAGGCTCTTGCAATGTCAATGGATGAACCCGCAGTTGGCCATGATGTAAAAGATACAGATATGTCAGAAGCATCTGTTGATGACCCAGAGTTGGCACTAGGTGAGATTGTGTTTTTTATGTACTCTTCATCTAGAAAACACGGGAACAGGCATACTACATAGACATTGAAGTGTCATATGTGTCCAACATAGAAACACAACTCCTTTTTGAGGTATCCAATTTGTAATGAATAAAATTTCTTTTATTAAATTCGGATAAGTCTTTGCATCTAGTCGTTTCCATAAAACAAACGTGCCTTGATTACAGTCATATTGTTTGTTATATGGTGGAACTACTTAAGAAGTTGAATAAAAAACAACATTTCAAATTTCAACATGAATCCAAGATTGTTTGAGAAACATCAAATGACCTGAACATGGGAGGGGTTTCTGTTAATCTTATATTTCCTACAGAGAAAGGAAAGCCCTGGTGGTTGTTTTAACTTTTGTTGCTTTCTGGCTATTTATTGCCTGCAGCTCTCCAATTGTCGGTAGCAGATAGTACAAAGGATCAAGCAAGCCAGTCAGATATGACTAAGTTGTTGGCAGATCAATCCTTTGTATCTTCTGTTCTTGCGTCGGTATGCAATAAATCCTTTTATTATCTTTTTGTTCTTTTACATCATAGATTGATGTGCTTTTTTGCATTGATGATTAATTCCTTTGGCAGCTTCCTGGGGTCGATCCAAATGACCCTTCCGTCAAAGATTTGCTGGCATCCATGCAAAATCAATCTGAGGTTAGTTTTTCCATGGAAAAAACATACTATATAGTATTTGAAATCAAATTTCAGACATTGAATAATTGGATTACTTGAATTGCAATGTAGTTTTTTGTCTTCCTAAATGATATTTTGTTCTATTTCCTGTGCTTCCATCAGTATATTAATTGTTTTGTTTATCCACCAGCAGCAGAAAAAGGACGACAAGCCATCAAATGAGGAGAAGAAATAATCTTTTAAAACCACTTTGGCTGTAGTTTTTATTTGTTTTCCTTTGAGACATACTAGTAGCATTTTTAGATGGTTGTTCCAATTGGGGTACTATTTTGTAGTAACCAATCATTGTCTCCACATCTGCTCGGAAACCACAGTGCATGCCCAGTGGTTGAGTCTTGGACTCTTAACATGAAAATGCTATTGATTTAGTGGACTTGGTTATATAAATGTATTCAAGTGTTGTCTCCGTTATCTACTTATATTCTGTATCATACTCTCTCCCTCTATATCTACATATATACTCTATACATTTTTCTTGTCCTTAATAGTAAGTATCTATGCAATTTACTAGATGTATTTATTATTTTTTTTCTAAACATATCCTATTATTGATATTATTAATTTATCTTAGAATATGGAAAAAGTTTAATTTACTCATCTTAATACATAAGGTGAACAAATTAAATTCATCAGCTATTTTTCCTAATACATGTAAAAAAAGTCAGAGATGCTTATAATACGAGACAAAGGGGAGTATAAGCTTGTTTTTTCCTTGTTTTTATTTTATAATGCTTCAGGCTTAATTATTGTTGCTCGATTACTTTTTCAAGCTTATACCTGTATTTAATACTTCTTTTTCAAGCTTGAACGTGTATTACTGTATTTTAATCTTGCCAAACAGTTTGCAAGGTTACATGTGTAGGTTGGTATGACCTATCGAATCTAGATGGAATGATTAAATAGATGAGGTAGAAAGTTCTTTTGATTTTTTTTTTGTTATTGGAAGGAGAAAACCAATATAAATTAGGTGGCAAATCGGGTCGTTTGTCCTGTTTCACTCTGCCTTAAGTCTGTAAAAAAAAATCTAATTCATCCCACTTTAATCTAACTCATCCCGTCAAAGTGAAGGGTTCACGGGTGGCGGATTTTCCGTCTATTTTTTATTTATTTTTTATAATAGATTAATAGGTTTTTTTTACCTTTTAATTAGATTTTTCATTTATATTTTAGAATAATTTTTTATAAAATATCTTTTAACAAATTTTACTTAAAAAAATATTACATATATTCACAATTTAATGTATAACATAAAACCATCAAGAATAAAAATTATTAGAATTAACTAAAAAATGGTAGGAATAAAATGAGGCAAACTAAACGAATAGGTGCGGCGGTCTTTGCCACTCCTACTATAGATCATGTATATATGTTTGGTTTGCGAGTTTGGAGTGGAGAGGAATGAAAGATTTTAAAAATGAATTTTTTAAAATATATAAGAAAATATTTAATATTTAAAAAAAAAAATATTTTATATAGAATGATAAAATAATATTCATCATTATATTTTTAATTTTAAGAATACTATAACACTATAAAAAAAATATTTGAAAATTTTATGCAAATCTTTCAAAATTCTCAATCAATACAAATTTTGAATTTTTTAAATTAAAGAATTTTTAGTATTATAAATAAAAGAAAACTTTTTAAATCTCTTTCATCCAAAATTCTTCAATTCTTTTCACTCAATTTTCTCTTTTTTTCAAAATCTCTCCTCCCTACCCCCAAACGCCCAAAGAGAACCCTTAACATCTTAGATATTTGGTTAAATCAACAATTCACAAACATCATAATCTTCGTAGAAACTAAGCATCCTTCATCGAAATTCAATATCATTAACTCCATCGTAAAATTGAAAAATCAAATTTTAGATTCGCTGGTCTACAAGTAAGGGTAGAATAAGCCAGGTTTGGTTTATCATAAATTTTTAAAGTCTAGTCTATGGCTTATTTTAGGATTTTTTCCCCTTGTTTAACCTTCTTTCTTTGTCTGATTTGACATTTTTAAAAGGCTGATATAATCTAAAACACTATTTAAAAATTAATACAACCGTACAAATAAGTTCATTTATTATTTAGATTATTCGATAAGGTTTAGTTGTTGTTAATATAATAATTATTATTATAAAATTATTAATAACAATAAATATATAATATGATAAATCTAATATATTTATAATTATAAATATTTTAAAATATCATTAATAACTATAAACATTTACAAATATTCTGTTGATTAAAATCAAAAAGAATTGTGGTAATAGTGACCCGTGAAAAGAATGAATACACAAAAAGTTAGACTGAATTAGAAAAACTACAGACAAAGTGTTGTTTTGCTCACTTCTAATGAACATCATGGTATAGGTTTGAAGAGGCCACTCCTTTATCATGAAGCAGAGTTCTCGTGCAACAATACATATTTTCGACTGAAATTAAGAATGTTAGACTACGACGATTTATCTAGAGGGGGTGAATAGATTTCCAAATTAAAAACGACCTTTCAAAATCGGTATTAAAAAACCTTATTTGAAAAACAATATTTAGTGGAAGGTTTTTGGTCTAGATTAAAATAGTAGTTTAAACGAATTTAGTTATTGAAAACTCGGATAAGCACAAGTCATATGAAATTAAGATAATGATAAAATCAATTAACATAATAATATCTCAATTAATAATTTAATATCAAACACAATTATTTCTCATTTCCAATGAAATTTAAACAAAAATATAGAGTATTGCAATTTGTCAAACACTTGTGGTGCAATTGAATTTTTCAGAATTTTCCTTTGAGTTGTGTTGATATGAAAAAACACTTATAATCAAAAATGATTATAAGCAAATCAACACCCAATTCAAAATAAAAACAGTCCTGAAAAATTTCTACGAGTCGATCGATTACTCAATGCTATTTGACAAATTAATATATGAAAATTAAAGCAAATAAAAGAATAAAATAAAAGAGACACAAGAATTTGTCTATACACTTCCTCACTTTCGTCCCAGCGTTTGGGTACGTCTGCACCCAATTCTAATGTGGAATTAGGATACTTTCTTACTTTGCAAAAAGTATGATTACAAGAGAAGTACTCAAGAGTAATCCTACAAACCCTAGACGTTTGTTGTTGATTCAACCCCTTCTATTCTTTTGATCTTCAACAAGATCAAACACACAATAGATTATCAATTGACTATCTGGATCTTACTACTTCTTTGCATTTTTTATCTCCAAATGTTTCACGCACCATCAATTCTACCTATTGCAACACAAAACTTCAATTTGATTCACCGTTCTCGCGCTACTTCCTTTGCGTTCTTTATCTCCAAAGGGTCTTTTTGCATTCTTTATCTCCAAAGGCTTTTACTAGGCCGCAACTCTCTTTTGAATGTCTTGAACGAAAGCCCCCAAATCAATCAAAGATCTTAGAGGACAAACCCATAGTTTTTTCGGATGAAGACCCCTGTAAATTTTAGCCTAATATTCTTGGCTACACAAGAACCTAATTGAACGTTATCGAACTTCATATATATGGCACCATAACAAAAGATTATTACGATGATTTGTTAGTGTGTATGCACAGGTTAGAGGTTGAAGGTGAAGAGAAATTTCAAAAACAAATTTATGGTATCATCAAGTTGGAATGATGCATGAATGATGTATTTATAGTTGTGGACTTTTTATGCAAAAGAATGAAGTTTCAGATGAAAAAAATTATGAAAAAATGACACGCAAAGCAGTATGTGCCGGCCTGAAAAGGTTATGTGTCGACACATACAAAATAGTAGCTACATGCTTTAATAATGCAGTACATGTGTCGACATATAAATCGTATGTGTCGACACATACTAAAACTTTTCAGAAATTGCAGAAATTTTTATTTTATGTGTCGACACATACGAATTTCAGGTCGACACATAAACATGTATTTTTATGCAGAAACTGATTTTTCATGATTGGGACCAATATCAAACTTGTTTTAAATGATTCATAAGACCTCTAATACAAGGGAGTGTCGCGTAACATACAAATACCGTCCAATATACATAAATGCTAATTTTTTCTAATTTTGACATCATACAAAACATCTAATGGTGAAATTGCACTCACAAAGAAAAACAAATAACTCAACAATAAATATAAATATGTTGCAAGAAAAAACTATAAATAAAAATATACATCTTTATATATCAAACATGGTATAAGCATTACAACATCCTTAAAATGTATACCTCCTTTTGAATTTTTAACTTAACTTTGTCAGACTTCACAATAACACATAGAATTCATGAACTCATAATAGTTTTCACTCTAATTGTAGAACTCTTAAAACTTAAAAATAGGCCCCACCAATAATCTCATAACTTTTCACCTAAATTAAAACAGGCATATGAAAAAAAATCTACTCAATAGAAGTGAAAATTGTTAAACATTCAATATAATATCAGCTGGCAAAACATACAAATTTTTCTAATATGTTTTTTAAATCAAACAAATTTTTTTTTGTTTGAACATTATGAAAAACAACTAATATCTACTTGTCACTTACCTGCTATTACCAAATTCAATGGTGTCTTTCTCTCTAAATTCATAATACTGTTGAGGTTCAATGGAATTATACTGCAAAAGTACCATCATATAATAAAAAATTCACACCAACCTTCTGCGTACTATTTGCTACTACATCGAATCCACATAACAAAGAAACTAACTAAAGACATTCAATGAAAACTCATATTAACGAAAGTTTTGTTTGTGCTTCCAAGATCCATTATGTAAGGCTTGTTGTAGATTGCATTGATGTTAGAGTTTTACATGCAAAATATTATGGCGTTATATGTTGAGTAACTTGGAAAAAAATCGAATGTTACCTTGTTTGCTTTATTGATGTACCATCAGGTTATTCCTTTTCAATTTTCCTAATAAGAAAATAAGTTTGGGTTTTTGTTATCGACGTGAGAACTCAAAACACCAACAAAGAAAGAGACCCTCATGAGGTCGTTAAATAAGAGAAATAATTAAATATTAAAATTGAATAACAAAATGTTGTTTGCTGCAAGACAGATGATCTGTTGGGACATCAGCAACCCTTCTTTCAGTTCCAAATAAGTAATAACTTTATCGATGTATATATAGGGGATCTACCAATCATATACATTTCTTTTAGGAAAATGTTAGTAAAAA